TGAAGAAAAAACGTCAGTTTCCAAAGACTCTCAAGCTATGGAAATTACTCAACTTTGGCGGCCATTTCTCACTAATTTTACCTCTGCAACTAAGCGTGCGACTCTGACGTCCTTCAATTGCAAACATTTCGACTTCTATTCTCAACATAGAAGGATATTATTTTCACCAAAAGCAAGGCAAATGAACAGGCTTTAAGATGATACCAACAACCCCATAAGCCCCAAAATCGATGTACCTGATTCCACCACTCTGCCTCACATTATCACGATGACACTGTCCCAAGTCCAAGACTCCTACCTGTCTAAGACAATCACTTCCCTCATTGACAATGTGTGGCTGTCTTGGACAATTTCAACAGTGTCAGGTCTTAGTTTAAGTCCAGAAAGAGTGTGTCAGGTCTTGGTCGCTTTTAAGTGCAAGGGGGCTATCCTGAAAAATGTTGTTTTGAGAAAATCGAAGGTAAAGTTTTTGACCCTTGTTCAGTTTCTTTAAAGGACAAGGAGAGTTTTCTCAATAACCAAAGAAATCATACCAATGAAACCAAACTTCTCCAATAGGTAGGGAAATGTCCATTTTTGGTCTAGGTCAAGATTTCTGGAAACCCCCGAAATCTGGGTTAGCCCGCTTGTCCTTACAAGCGACCAGTTCAAGTCCAGAAAGACGTGTGTCTGGTCTTAGTTTGTCCAGAAAGGTGAAGAAGGTGAAGGAAGCAAATGAAAAGAAAAACTCCAAAGTGTATTGAATTGTTTCATGAACTTTTATATATCAGCATGATAGCAAACAAAAGCACATCACACAATTGCATGACAATAAGAATAAGCCCAACATTGCAATAGGTTTTGTCAAGCTTCAACCCTATCCGTACGCCCTGGGGTCATTTTGTACCCCCTGGGTTGTATTCTTCCCATTTTAGAATACTTCTAGTACGAAAATCTCTCTGAAACTTTCAGTACTTCTCCAAAAATCATTTTGACAGACTGCTATGCAAAGCGTACGGATCGGAATAACGAGTAAATTTCCTCTTTGGACAGTGGTAGCACAAAGTTCCCCACGCCGTATGGATACGATAGTAAAACACGACGTACAGATAGGGTTAATGGTGAGATACAGTTAAAACAGTGGTAAATGTGTCACGACGCGCTGGAATCAGGCGCTCGTCAATTTTTGTGCATGTGGAGTTATTGGTATCATCTTAACCAGGTATCTTGCTTTTGAGGAAAAAAAAATACCCATCTATCTTGAGCAAAAGTTAAAATATTTGTGATTGAAAGAGGTAAGTTCACTTGGTTTCAGCGGTAAAAATAGCGAGAAAATGGCCGCCAAAGTTTGGTAACTTCAATAGCTAAATATAAATGTATTTTGAGCTTTTAATTGTTTTTCATTATTATTCACAAGGAAATGTGTTTTTATTTGGACATAAAAGGACTGAACAAAAAAACAAAAATTTGATTAAAATTGCGAAACTGGTGGGAGAATGCCCGTTTCTCCAATTTTGTTGTTTTGACGAGTACCTGATTTCACCACGATGCCTCACAAATTAATTCCTTCCAAACACAAACAGCTTTATCTTGTCACTGCTATGTTGACTAATGATCTACTCACCTGCGTTCTCCCACATTGGTTCTCACTCACGTTTTTCTACAGGTTTATCTATACATATTATATTTGGGAAAGTTCGTCACTTTGGCCGTCTAAAACTTTGGAACCGCTGATTTTCGAATGTGAAAAAATTAACGGTGGTTCAGAATAATTTAAAGGGTGCACAGTTTTACTGAGGAGTCTGAAGTCACTGTAGTTTAATTTTCAGTTTTACATTAGTTTTGTTTAGATCTCATCTTGGGAAAGTTCGTCTTCTAAGACGCCATTGTAAACAAGTGAGGCTTCCGCTCACAAAGAGTGCGTGCACTGATCCCAAAACGATTTGACGATTGATTCTTTTGAGTCCGTTCGTCAAACGGGAAACCCAGCTAGTAAAGTATGTTTCAGAAAATGTACTTGTTACAAACTATTCCTTTGTTTATCTTGATTAAGGCAAAGTGAAATATGTTCTGGTTTTGTTGAAATCTCTCTTGTATCTACAAATACAGATGGACACAGATGGACACCATTAGCGAACGCCGTGAAACACTTGCCAAAAGAAACAACAAAGACTGGTGCTTGTGAACCTATTTGTAGCCAGCGCCCACTTTCACCAAAGATTCTCTACTTAGGTACCCAGATGTTTCAATTGCCCTAGATCAGATCTCGCGTCCGGGCGAGACCTTGTGTTGGCGAGTGACACAACTCTTTAACGTTTGCCTAAAAAACACGATTCAAGAGACGGGGTGAGTATTTCAAGACTCACGTAGAGCAAGCATGTGGAGACATCCAGACAGCCGGGGGATGAAATCTACAAGCTTACACTGAAATGTGGGGGCAGGGCGGTGTTGCTGTCTCAAATGAGCAATTTGTAGGCAAGGCTACAAAGCACAGCTGATTAAAACCTGTCAATTCTTTGCCATATCGACAGACCGAAGGGCGAGAACCCAAATGGCCGCTGGATCGGAAAAGTAAAAGTAAAAGTAAGTAGGCAAGGCTACAGTAAGACATTTATTTTAGGGATGCTACGTATCCATCCAAAGAGCCGTTTTTAATATAGGGCCCAAAGAGTAAAACTTTTTTATTACCGGGTCAAAATTTTTTGGAAAAATATTTTTGCTTGGTCGCTGGACTGCAGAAGTGCCAAGGAAAGTTTCGTGGGCATTGGTAAATTCCTCAAAGAACTAGAACTTTTTTAACACAGTCAGACAAAAGTGAACAAGCCATCATAAATATTTTCTACCAGCCATGACGGGAGCTCTTCAATCAAATTACTTAAGTACATATATGTACATGAAAAAGTTTTACACTTCAAACCACTTTGTGAAAGTAATACTGACAGGGTCGGGCAGCTCAACAACCAAAACCTTTCTGTACAGAACATGTGTCATGACGTGGTGGTACCAGGCGCTCCTCACTCTTTGGACATGTGCAGTTAATGGTACCACATTAAAGCTTCTTCAGTTGTCTTGCTATTGGTGAAAAAAAAAAATGCCCATTTATCTTGAAAAGAATTCAAGGAAGATATTTGAGACTGAAGAAGGTGGGGTTGCCTGGTTTCAAAGATAGAATTAGCGAGAAAATGCTCTCCAAAGTTTAGTTATTTCCATAGCTTGATAGTCCATGTAAACTGAAAACTTAAATTTTTTTGTTCAACGTTTTTCAGAAAAATCCACCCAGAACTGAGTTCTTAATTAATTGGAGAACAACGGAGTTCAGCCGAAAAAACAAAAGTTCCATAAAAATTGCGAAACGGGCAGAAATTCGCCAGGTTCTTCAGTTTCATTATTTTGGTGAGCGCCTGATTTCACCACGCTGCCTCACATATGTACATGAACAAGTTTTACACTTCTTCCAACCACTTTGTGAAAGCAACACTGACAGGTTGTCTGCTTCTTGCCACTGTTCACAATTAATGCACAACTAACAACACAAACAATATCAAAATAGACAAACTTTCAATGCATAACCATCAAGGCACCATTCAACACTTTCGCCAATATAGCAACATATTTTACTCTTTCTTCTTTGGCTGTTACCAAATAAGGGGAAAATAAATCTTCCCGAAGAATGTTTTTAGACTTTGATTGATTTGAGCTTCACATCTGTCCCAACTTTTCAACATTATAATGAGCAATTTTTATCGCTTATATTTGTTCTTTTTAAATTCTGTATCTTTGATTTAGTCTTTCAACGGATTTATCTATTACAGTATCCGTACTTTAGTCTTTCAAATTAGACTGACAAACATGTTAGTGAATATTTTCAATTTCATCACATTTCAATGAAAGCATCAAACTTCTACGACCCTGCACTTTCATCACATACAGCAAATTTCAGCAAAGCAATGAGTCTTGGGTGGGTACATATGTGAGGTGTGCTGACAAAATGAGTTACTTCTCGTAGTCCACAAATGGAGATAGTGGTCAAAACTCGACACTAGGGTCAAATTTGTAGATTTGCTCTCTCTCTCTCTCTCGCCCCTTTTAACTCCCAGTGGAGCACAGGCCATCAACAACATTACTCCAGCGAAGCCTGTCCTGAGCATCCTTTTCTATCTGTTTCCATGATGTCCCCGCTTTTTCAATTTCCGCTTGTACCGCTCGCCTCCATGTCATCTTTGGTCTTCCCTTCTTACGCTTTCCTTGTGGGTTCCCCGTAGATTTGCTATAGACCACATACTCTTCAACTATAACATGCCTTTTATTATGGCATACTTATAAATTGTAAAAGCTTCTATAACGTGATGTATCTATTTCCAAAAGGCTAGAATCCGAGAAGTAACTCATTTTGTCATCACGCTCCACATATATCAGTTTGTGAACACATAAGCTAATGACAACTTCAGTCCGGTTCAGCGCCTCACCGTAGTCGGATCAGGATTTTCTTTTTCATAACTCGGTAATTTACTGCTGCATTTACTTTTTATACTGGCATCTGCGGTGTAGGGGCTAGATGCTCCACCGTCAAACGCAAAAGTCGCAAGTTCAATTTCTGTGCGAGGAGAATTTTTATTGAGTATCTAATCTTGGACTTTCTTCTGGGACTCTCAGCCCAGGTCGGCACACCGATAGGCACGGTTGAAGCCCGCCTCCTATATGATCTAAACTGAGCCAATTGGAGCATAAAAAACACAAACATTCTAGAAATAAAAAATTCTACTTCTTTTTATTGGCCATGACAGGAATCCATGACATAGAAAATATCACCCCAATGGATAAGTCTGAAGGTATAATTGGTCGCTTTTAAGCTCAAGGGGGCTATCCCAAAAAATGTTGTTTTGAGAATTTCTTTAAAAGACAGGGAGAGTTTTCTCTATAACTAAATATATATATACACACCAATGAAACCAAACTTCTCCTATAGGTAGAGTGCCCACTTTTTATTAGGTCAAGATTTCTGGAAACCCCCGAAATCTGGGTTAGCCCACTTGTCCTTAAACAAGGAAGAAAGGAACGATTATCAGGAAAGGAAAGACGTCGCCATAATCAGACAGCTACCGAAACAATCAGTACGGATACTTGCGGGCTTTGGTGCTGGGGGGAACTGAGCACTTATGGACCTGTCCAGTGTGCAATGACGAATGACGTTGCCCAGGACAGGTAATACAGGTCCTTAAAAGCGACCAATCAGGTCTGAAGTCCGAGCCAGAATGTCATTGTAGCACTCCAAAGATATAACTGTTCAGTTCTCTACACTCAAAATAAAATAAGCTTGTGACCTGTTCAATGCTTGCAGTGGTTCCATATAATAGACAAACCACAGAAAAACTCTTCGCTGTGGCTACGCATCACATGACAATCATCGGCTGCTCCCCCTCGCTGTCCTGTGTAGCGGCAGAGATGGTGGTGCGAACAGCCGAGCGGCAGAGACCCCAGAATTTCTTCGGGGAAAGGTTTTTCTTTGTGGCCGTAAACATCCATCCCATATGGGCGTGGCACTCTTTGCACTGCACGATCGTCCATGCGTATCTGAGGATACGGAATGTAGAAATACAATCAGCCACGCACATCTGCAGACACGGAATTCAGAAATACAATCATATCTGCAGACACTGATTGTAGAAATACAATCATATCTGAGGACATGGAATGTAGAAATACAATCATATCTGCAGACACTGATTGTAGAAATACAATCATATCTGAGGACATGGAATGTAGAAATACAATCATATCTGCAGACACTGATTGTAGAAATACAATCATATCTGAGGACATGGAATGTAGAAATACAATCATATCTGCAGACACTGATTGTAGAAATACAATCATATCTGAGGACATGGAATGTAGAAATACAATCATATCTGAGGACATGTAATGTACAGGAAAGTAGAAATACAATCATATCTGAGGACATGGAATGTAGAAATACAATCACCCACACATATCTGAAATATAGCGCGATGCAGTGTGCGACTCCGAGCAGATAAAGAGTTACGGCAGCTGTACTGTACATGACTTAATCCAAACACACACTGGCAGAGAGAAAAAAATCGGATCTTAGGCAGCTTAAAAAACACAGCTTAAGGAACAATAACCTAGTAAGACTGCATCATTTACACTGTATGGCTGAGGGAAATACAAACAAAATTAAGGAATAGTCCGATAAAACTGCATCATTTACACTGTACTATCATCCACACGTAATATCTGAGGTTGTTTGTTTGTTTAGTATAGGGTTTTACAGCGCTCGCAACTGCATAAGGTCATATGAGCGCGCGGGACACACCTAATACTTTTTCGTTGGTAGGAAATTTTGAATTTTGCCCGGGTGGCGGCCGAAGCCTACTCTTATCGATTTTAGACCACCAAGGGATCTTTAACGTGCGCAACTTGCAGACGGGCCCTCCGAGAAGGCCAGGTGTAGATCTTTCCTACCAGAAGATGAGGGGTGTGGCAGAAAGACAGCAGTTAGGAGGAGCCAAGGAGTAGCAGTAGAAAGGCTGCAGAAAGAGTCAGGAGCCCAGAGGAGGGGGCAAAGGAGGTGAGGGGGTGGGGGCAGAAAGTGGAAATGAAAGCAGACAACAGAACATTGTTAGAGATCAGGAAAGGATGTGAAAGGAGACAATTTTAGAGAAGAAAATCTTTTGGTCGCTACCCGGAATCGAACCCGGGACCTTTGAATGAGAGGCCAACACCTTAACCTCTAGGCCACGAGAGCCCCCAATATCTGAGGACACTGATAGAAAAATACAAACAATAACTAATAATAATAATAGATAGCATTTGTATAGCGCAAATGCCCGCTAAACAGCAAGCTCTGTGCGCTTCACAATCTATACTATTACCCCTGCAGACCCGAGAGTATTCAGAAACAACTTCAACAAGCATACGGTGCAAGCGGCCATTTATAGGCGCTAAAACACCAACATACTGACAAGATCTTTCACTGTCTATGGCTGGGTACCCATTCCCACCTGGGTGAAGTGAGGAAAATTCGTGCAAAGTGCCTTTCCCAAGAACACCACGGCTTGAACCCCCGAACCCGCAACCTCAAGATTACGAGTACGGTAGCCTAACCACTAGGCCACCAATTAGAAATAATCTCCACCCCAACTCACCCAGGAAACCAGCTGTGCTCTGTGGAGGCCCCGCCATTATTTCGCAAGTTAGCGACAGCCAGGACCGTATACATCTCGTGCACGTAGCCCCCGGGGTTAACGTACGCCCCGAGTGGACCCTCGCGACTCATGCTGAACACATCGCTTCTGTTGGAGATGGTCTGCTCGCAGTCGTTGCAGGTCAGGAGAAAGCCACTCTGAAGTAAACACAGGATAAGATGCATTCAAATTTATGCTATTTTTAGTTTTTAGTTTTGGTAAGTGTTTTACGGCATTTGCAACACTTTAAGGTCACATAAGTGCTGAAGATTAGAGGAGGAGAGATAAAGACGATAGATGTTTGATAGGAAAGAAGGAGCAAACCAAACCAGAACGCCCGCCAACCACCCACATGTTATTATTATTTTTTAAAAATTTGGTTTTTGTTTGCATTTGTGCGTGTGGGTGTGTTTGTGTGTGTGTGTGTTTGTGTGTGTGTGTGTGTGCGTGTGTGCGTGTGTGCACGTGGTGAAACACCAAACCAATGTGCCAGGATCTGGACAATAAAGATGTATCTTATCCTATCTATCTTATCCAACAAGCGCCTCTATAAAAATTTCCACTTCGGCTATTCTGTAATATAATCTCATCTTATTAGAGTAGTAGATTTCTTTTTTTTAATGAATTGATACAACAAAATTCAAATAAAATTATACATTCATTACGTAAGATGAGACCAGACAAAACATAATGACTTTACAGTATTACCAGGAACGTGAGGCAAGCTTAAATAGAAGATAAGATAAGACAAGATAATGCTTTATTATCCAAGAGGGACATTTTTCTCGGCTGAATATATGATAACACATAACAACATTCTTTCTCTGTAATTTTGATAAGACAAGGAGATATGATAGAACAAGTAAAGTTGTTTCCGCATCCGATCCGGATATTGGGGATTGCCTAGTTGATAGTGGGACAATTTCCTGGGCCTTCGGCATATTGCGGTAGGGTGGCCAGTTCCTTTCCACGCTGTCTTTACTTCCCCAACTCGAAGTCAGGTAGGCTACCCATTCCTGCTGTGTGGGCAGGAGGGGGTGAAAAAAATCTGTGTCCGAACCGAGGCTCAAACCCGGACTTTCTGCTTTGGAGACAAGCGCACTAACCGCTCCGCCACCACACCCATTTTGATAGAATAAAGAATTTAAAGCATTGATGAGACAAGACAGAATAGATCACACAGTTTAATACAAGACAGACAACTTCCAAGGTGGGTGTTTGGCAGGCGCACAGCCGTGGTTTGACCCTTCTTTTGTGTCAAACACCTATCATCCTTTTCTCTTCTACTTCTTTTCTTTCCATGCTACTCTATAGCAACACCTCTAATCTTCAGCACTTATGTGACCTCATTCAAACTATGTTGTAGGTGCCGTAAAACTCCAACTAAAACTAAACTTCTTCTTTTCTTTGTATATTACTCAATAGCACCACCCCTAATCTTCGACACTTATGTGACCTTCATATGTTATAAGTTACGTAAAACTCTTACTACACTTACTTTACTTTTACTTTTTCATCCTCTGTTGCCGTTAAGCATCGAGGAGAGATGCAGTTTTCTATGGTAGGCCAGTTCCACAGCTCTTTCAGTTGTGATATCTTTTCTCAGGGTTTTCTTGACCCCCTTGACCCACCTTTTGCGTGGCCTTCCTCTTCCTTTATAGCCTGAATTGTGAAATGGCCAGGTGACATACATAACAGGTGGCCAAACCATTTTATTCTCCATCTTTCTATGTAATGCAGGCAGGACTCAGTGCCGATAGCTGCTCTTACTTCTTCATTTCTGTGCCTGTCTCGTCTTGTGATGTTAAGGGTTTTGTGGAGCCATTTCATTTCACATGCGCAGATTTTGCTTTCATGGGCTTTACTTAATGTCCAGGTCTGGCACTGGTAGCATAATGTTGGTATGAATATTGAATTATCAATTAACATCAACCCCCCAAAATAGGAGCAGCCTTGACCTTGCCTCACCTTCCGGATTATGCTGAGCCCATACCTCAGCCGCTGGACCACCGAGTCGAAGGAGAGCAGCTCGAGTCGTGTCTGGTCGTCCACGGGCAGGTTGTGAGCCACCCAGAACGACAGGTCCACGGGGTTGGAGGGCAAAGGTGAGGAGGACCAGCTGCCTAGTTCCGCTCTCGTCTGCTCTGAAAGCCACTCCTGACGAAAATATGTGAGGCGTGATGATTAAAGTGAGGCATCGTGGTGTAATCAGGCGTTTGTCAAAATAACGAAACTGGAGAAACTTTTTTCTGCCAGTTAGGCATTCTTTATCTATTTTTTGTTTTTTCACTCAATCCCTTTTATGTCCATATAAACACACATTTGCGTGTGAATTCTACTGAAAACCGTTAATTAAAGGCACACATTATGTCATTTTTCAGTTTTCAAGGACTCTTTCGCTATTGGAGTTATCAAATTTTGGTGGCCATTTGCTCGCAAATTTTACAATTGAAATCAAGCGACCTCACCCCCTTCAATCTCAAATATGTGGACTTCTATTCAAGATAGATGGGGATATTTTTTACTGAAAGCAAAGCAAACAAATAAGCTTTCAGATAATACCAATAGCTCTACATGCCCAAAAATGGACAAGCGCCCGATTCGACTGTGTCGTGACACAAATGCAGTTGACCCTGCTTTAAAAGCCACCTGTCCAAAACAATCACCTGTACAAATAATCACATCCCACCTTGCAATTTTCCCACATCATAAAGACACTGTCCAAGTTATCCACCTGTCTAACACAAGACATAAGACATCCACCTAAGACAAGACATAAGACATCCACCTGTCTAAGACAAGACATAAGACATCCATCTGTCTAAGACAAGACATCCACCTAAGACAAGACATAAGACATCCACCTAAGACAAGACAAGACATCCACCTAAGACAAGACATAAGACATCCACCTAAGACAAGACATAAGACATCCACCTAAGACAAGACAAGACATCCACCTAAGACAAGACATAAGACATCCACCTAAGACAAGACAAGACATCCACCTAAGACAAGACATAAGACATCCACCTAAGACAAGACATAAGACATCCACCTGTCTAAGACAAGACAAGACATCCACCAGTCTACAAAAAGACATCCACTAGTCTAAGACAAGACATAAGACATCCATCTGTCTAAGACATCCACCTGTCTAAGACAAGACATCCACCAGTCTACAAAAAGACATCCACTAGTCTAAGACAAGACATCCACCTAAGACAAGACATAAGACATTCACCTGTCTAAGACAAGACGTCCACCAGTCTAATAAAAAGACATCCACTAGTCTAAGACATCCATCAGTCTAAGAGAAGACAAGATATTAGACGACATCCACCTGTCTAAGACAAGACATCCACCAGTCTAAGACAAGACATCCACCTGTCTAAGACAAGACAAGATATTTACCTGTCTAAGACAAGACAAGACATCCACCTGTCTAAGACAAGATATCCACCTGTCTAAGACAAGACATCCACCTGTCTCAGACAAGACAAGACATCCACCTGTCTAAGACAAGCACTTTTCTCCTCAAAACTCGGGGAGCATCTAGGACAATTTCGACTGTACTTATCAGTGGCAAAGAAACAAACACTGTGTTCTAAAATTGTGAGGCATCGTGGTGAAATCAGGCGTTCGTCAAAATGATGAAATCTGAGAAACTGGCATTTTGCGGCCAGTTTGGAAATTACATTTTTTTTTTTTTTTTTTTGGCTCAACACCTTGTATATCCATTCAAAAACTTTTAAGTGTGGATTTGATGGAAAAATGATTAAAGGCACAACAACTTCAAATTTGCAGTTTCCAAGGAATCTTGAGCTGTTGAAGTCACCATACTTTGGCGGCCATTTCCTCGCTAATTTTACCTCTGAAATCAGGCGACCCCTGCCTCCTTCAATCGCAAACTTCTCAACCTCTATTTGAGATAAATGGATATTTTTTCCATTGAAAGCGAGCAAATAATACCAATAACTCCATAGGCCCAATAATTGATGAGCGTCTGATTCCACTGCGAAGTCACACAATCGTATAAATCCTTCCATTCCCTCGTTGATGTCCGGACTCACAATATCGTACATTCTGTACACCCAAGGCGGCCACCACGTGAACTTTGACGAATAAAACTTGCTGACACAGCTCCTACTCCGGCAGTCGACAGAAGTGAGTACCCTCCCTTGGCGATCCACAGCCGTTTTCAGCATCTCACTGTCATCGCACGGCTTGGTGAAGAGCCTGAAACATAAATATAATACTATATAGCACATGGGGTATACGGAAAATACTTAATATTTTAGTAGTTGTGAAATTTTTAGCGCCTGTAAAATGGGAGCCTGCACAGTAGACTTCTCATGAAGAGCTTGCACTGTAGACTTCCCAGGAAGTTACTATTGTTTCTGAGTGCTCTAGGGTCTGCTGGGGTAATAACGATAGCCATACAGTGCTCACAGCTTGTTTCCTAACAGGATAGAGCACTCTAAAAATGGTCGCTTTTAAGGACAAGCTGGCTAACCCAGATTTCGGGGGTTTCCAGAAATCTTGACCAAAACAAAAAATGAGCATTGCCCTACCTATTGGAGAAGTTTGGTTTCAATGGTGCATATATTTGTTTAGTTATAGAGAAAACTCTCAAAGTCTTTAACGAAACTGAACAAGGGGCAAAAAATTTATCTTTGATTTTCTCAAAACAGCATTTTTCGGGATAGCCCATTTGTCCTTAAAAGCGACCAAACGTTAGCTATTATCATTATTTGGTTGCTTTTAAGCACAAGGGGGCTATCCTGAAAAATGCTGTTCTGAGAAAATCGAAGTTAAGTTTTAGAACTCTTGTTCAGTTTCTTTAAAAGACAGGGAGAGTTTTCTCTATAACCAAACAAATAAACACACCAATGAAACCAAACTTCTCCTATAGGTAGGGCAATGCCCACTTTTGGTGTATGTCAAGATTTCTGGAAACCCCCGAAATCTGGGTTAGCCCGCTTGTCATTCAAAGCAACCATTTCTGACAGACTGTACCACTAGCAATTATAGAATTATAGATTGTAAAAAATAATAAAATAAGTTTCATTTCACCCAGAGCAAATCTAATGGGTCCCACGAGCTCATATGACCTTATGCAGTTGCAAGCGCCATAAAACACCAGAAAGGGAAAACAAAAATTGGAGTACTCACAAAGATATCTAGCAATTTTTAGGAAAAAACTAAAAGCATTTATATTTTCATCATATTTCGATTAGACAGAATCCATCCAAGAGCTGTAGATCGTCGAGAATTTGTATGTGCGTATGTACGTATGTGTGTATGTATGTGAGTATGTACGTATATGTGGGTGCGTGCGTGAGTATGTGTGTTCATGCGTATGTATGTGCCTATAAAATTGATTCGTAGTTCCATAATATGTTTCATGTTAAGCGCATAGAGCATTGCATAAGTGGATATGAGCTATATAAATGCAATCCATTATTATTAAAACAGCACCTGGACATGGATGGCTCGTGCCTCTATAAATAAATCATTGATGGTCTGGTCCATTATTATTATTATTATTATTATTATTATTATTATCTACGGGGGGAAAACTTAGCTTTCCCAGATTATGAGACTCACTTGCGATGTGAGGCCAGGCAGGCTCCGTCGAGAACATGTGTGAGGGACACCTCGGGGAGGATTTTCACTTTGGCCACCAGCTCTCTGAGGGGAAAAAAACAACAGTCTCTTTTTTAGTCAGGATTGTATTTTTTTAGTGTTTTATGGCACTTGCAACACAATAAGGTGAAAAAGGCCATATAAGTGCCAAAGATTAGACGTGTTAAAAGAGAGTAACAAACACAAAAAAGTAGGAGCAGAGATAAGGATGTCATCCATACTTTGCATAGCAGTGTGTATCAATTTGTCTTAACTAAATCATATTTTTCTAGAACAATTGGGGCTAGATTTAAAAACTTTTCTTCATAAATTTATATAAAATACTTGAAATCTCTGTCACGCGTAAAATGTTATTGTTCACAGCACTTCCCGTTTCTCAAACACATTTTGATTACGCATGTGGCTTACATCACAATTCATCAAAGACAATTTTTACTTGCAAAACATGTTAAAAGAAATTATTGTTATAGTGAACATATTTTTGCACTAATGGCTTTCAAAATATGCGTTCAATAAGCATAATGTCCCGATTAGAAAAACCTGACAGACTTGCTATTAAAAGCTATATTGCCCCCAGCTGTAAACATTAAAAAATCTGTAGAAACCACCCACTTGGACTTTTTATTAGTATTTATTAAGGAATTTTCTAGAAGACAGCTTGCAAGTGTTTACAAAAAAGTTGATCTGTTAAGACAAATAGATACAAGTAGTCACAGTGCAAAAATTGGAGAACCTACGTTCGATAGTTGAGGAGATATTTGTATAAAGTATTTCCAATATCTGGGGAGGCAGGTAGGTAAGTGCTACGCAGGTCATTAAGTGCAGGGCAGGTAAAGAGATGGTGTGATACAGTTTCATCCTGGTTGTCACACAGTGGGCAGTCAGGTGAGGTATCCTCGTGGATCCTATTTAGGTAGGAAATCAGTGGGATGTGAAAATTGTCACTGTCATGCATTATCATTGTCACCGTCATTGTCATTGTCAGCTGGTCTAATGAGACGTACCCGGTAATCTCCGACTTGATCTCTATTATTCGGAACCTCTGCCGACCTCTGGCCTTGACCCTCACCATGGAGATACCAGACGCCTCGTCCATTTCATCCTTCATCGAGAAGATTTCAGCAGTGCAGCCAACAGCCGATATTTTCTGTCCATCGCTCTCTCTGAGACCACTTTGGGAAAGAAATGCAAAAAAATATGAGCTATTAGAAAACTAAGGAACAGAAACATTTAGTTTCACAATGTGTGGGAAAGGAAATATCAATAAAAACAAGTGACTACAACGCCTTACCTATTCCACTTGATAAAACAAAAAAATAAATAGCAGACCAAAACGGAACAAATACAACAAAAATTGTTTTTAAATACAGATAATAATAACAATAATCAGAATAATAACAGTAATAATAATAATAATAACAATAAAAATAAATGGTATCTGCCTAGCGCAATTTCCTGCTATAAAGAAAGCTCTATGCCCTTTACTATCTACATTATCACCCCAGCAGAGCTGATAGGATTCTGAAATAAACTCAATTTCTTAGGCAGCACATAGTGCAGATAATAATAAAAATAATAATAATAATAATAATAATAATAATAATAATAATAATCATTATCATCATCATCACAATAATAAAAATAATAATAACAATAATAACATATCTTATTTTTAATCTAAAAACAGAAATGACTATAGCTGACATCTCAATGAATAAAAAGACTTTATCTCTCTAAAAGTACTTGGCAAAGCATTCCAGACCTTGGGGCCATGATATATACAAATGTCCTTTCACCCATCGTTTTAAGTTTCATACATGGTAAAAAAAAATCTTTTTGTCAGCTGATGACTGTAAACTGCAAGTTTCAATATTACAATTTCAACATATCTGACAAATATGTGAGGCAGTGTGGTGAAATCAGGTGCTCTTCACAATAATGAAATTGAAGAAACGTTGTATGTCGATTTAAGAACCCATGTCTGTGTGGATTTTACGGAAAAAAAGTTAATTAAAGCACAAAAAAAAATAAAGTGTCAGTTTCCACGGACTTTCCGGCTTTGTATATAACCAAACTTTGGCGACCATTTTCTCGCTAAACGCTATTAGACGTTCCCAAGGTCGGATGGGGAACAGGGTTATTACCGCCAGACGCTCCCAGCGTCGGATGAGGTTTAAAGAGTTTAAAGCTGGTTCATTTGTATAGCCTTCCATGAAAAAGATACCCATTTATCTTGAATAGAAGCTGAGATATCTGGTATTAAAGGAAGTGGAGGTCACCTTGTTGTCACAGTTGCATATTATTTAGAGCTAGTTTCTTCTTGTTTTCGGAACTATTCCTCATCCAAGTTTTTTTAGTAATGGCGAAGCCTTTGTTTTCGCCATTCAGAAGTTGGAGGCAAGTTTTTGGGGTTATAATGAGTTACAGTGCACCATGTTTAGGTGACCGTAGAAAAAACTCCGGGAAATGGTGGAAAAAAACGCAGGTTTTTAAAGAGTTAAGATGATACCACACGATGCCCAAAAATTGACGAGAGCCTGATTCCACCGGGTCGTGATAAATACGACAGCGCATCTGGGCAGCAGGGCTGCCTACCTCAAAGTTCCCATTTCAGGTAAATTCAGGGTCAGTTTCAGGTATTTAAGCCCCAAATCAGGTAGTACATAAATGTAATGTTATGGGACATAATCCATAATCTACCACAGTTGCTTGTTCGTTATATTATAGTTGTTTCCCTTTCATCCTAACCACTCCATGAGCAGTTCTCATATTGTCTCGATGTTCAGGGCTTCCGGGAACATTGGGTCTTGTGTTATATAAAGCTGTGTCTGTCTCTCTAGTTTTTTGGTCATTTGACAGGTGAAGTGAACCCTGCCATCATCACAATAGGCCTTTACTTTTACTTTCATCAGCCGCTTATACCTTTTTGGGTGTCGCAGAAAGAAAGAGACGTCTCTCTGCCACCAGCCACAGAGCTTGGGTCAGGGGGATGTCGTGAGTTATTAGTGTTTCCCTGACTCCATCTATCCAGGTCTTTCTCGGTCATCCTCTAGCCTTGTTGCCATTGAATTTTTTGCTGTAGGCACGTTGTGCTGGATGGTGTGTTGGTTATCGTGTGAGATGTCCGAACCATTTGATTCTTTGGTGTTGGATGTGATGCATGACATCATTTGTGCTCACCATATCTCTGACTATTGAGTTTTTAATTTTGTCTCGCCTGGTTATGTTTACTGCTTTTCTAAGACATCGTATTTCACATGTTGTAATTCTTTGCTTCATTCCTGGAGAAAGAAGGAGAAAAAAAAGATTATCACTTTTATACATAATTGAGCTGTCACCTCATATTGATGACTCCGAACGTCTTATCGTCCCCGGCGACTCGCCTCATCATGGCCACCAGCCGCTGCATATACAGCTGGAGCGGGATCACCTGGCCAGGAACCAGAACCACGTTGGGCAGCACCACTAGGGGGATCATCGTTATCGAATTCTCCTCCAGAATTGTCCGGCCCCGCATTTCCTCCAAGTCGTTCCCTAGATACTAGACAAGACAGCAAGGCGTTTTTTTTAGCTTTAGTAGAGGTTTTACGGCGATCGCAACTGCACAAGGCCATACGAGCGCCAGAAGATTAGAACCGAGTTACAAGAGAGTAACAAAAATAAAAAAGAATGAAAGGGAGATAAGGACGATAGATGTTTGATAGGACAGAAAAAGCAAATCACACCAGAGCATCCACCAACCACCCACCAAGGCGTTTTTAGCCATGCATTACATTAAAAAAGACACACCTAACGCAAGAATGATAATCTGCTGAAAAGAATCTAAGTGACGGTAGAGCCATTCTTCCTTCTTCCTTCTTCTTTTTTTTTTGTAAGAGGAAGGTTGCATATTTCTAAATAAAAATTTAAAAAAATAAATTTCTATATCACTGCTTAGAATTTTTTCAGTACGTCATTCCATTGTCTTCATGTGATCTCTTCTCTGGAAATGGCCCTTTTATATTACATAAATTGTATCAAACCTGCACTTATCACTACATGGCATTGGACAGAAGGATAACAGCCCAGCTGTTGCTGGATTGATAATAATAACAACAATACGTACAAAAACAAAAGCAGTAACTACTAACCCGTGGTCAGCTAATACTTTTAAACACTAAGCAATAACTACTAACATGATTAATTAAAACTAATACACTTGTAAAACACCTAAAAGCAATTTATTAACTGAAATGATCAGTGAATACTTTTGAAATAACCCATCATAGATGCAGGAGACAGTTAAGCAATATCTAAAGACATGTCCATAAATAAGTAAATATTTTTTAGAGGACCCATAGATATAGACAGTTGAAACAAAATTCATCATTCCTTCATATAATATTATATCCGTAGCTAACTACATCCTCACAAATAATACAAATCTTAAACATATGAACAAAGAGAAACAAAAAAAAAGAAAAAAAAAAAGAAGAAAAATCGAATTGCTTTTAAAACTATTCTCCTTGTTAGGCTATGAACAAACTCAATGCAAAATGACACATATTTTGAAAAAAAAAAGCCAGATCTTGTACTACAAAAAGAAAGAATATTTTAATAAAATATGACCCAAATATCAAATTTTAAACAGTTGGGTCACATGGCTTGGGTAACCACCACGAAACAATCTCTTAATCCTAACCACAGTAGTACAAAACATCAATAAGCTGTTTAAAGAAAGCTTAAAAACATAATAATAAACAAATAAGTCCCATTCTCATACCGAGTGTGTCCCTGGCAACGACTGGTCGAAGTTCACGATAACTTGTTGCCGCGAGTCAGTTTCACTATCTTTTCTGGAAGATTTTCTTCTCTTCTCTTTACGTCTTCTGTTTCTTTGAAGTCGATTTCCTCCTTCCTCTTCAGCTGCATTTTCCTCACCTTCATCGTTAGCATCGTCGTCATCCATCTCAATCTCAATATCTTCTTCATCAGCATCAGATTCTGTGAAAGATTTGGAATTCATGACGGACTATTCTAACCACATTTAAGGCAAAATTTTATAGGCACTTTTTATTTCTAAATTTATATTGTAGCCTTGTTGATCTCAATGTTGTATCTTTGTCATGGATCTTGAACATAATAAACAATGAATCTCAATGTCTGGTGAAATACACGTGTGGTCTGATAAGTTATATTCACTTAGATTCTACACTAAAAATAATTTTTCGGTGTTCTCACACAGCTGAGTCTTGCAAGGAGTTGCACGTCTGCAGTCAAATGAGGTAGTCAGCATTCTTAAATTTTGCAATCCAAAAGAGGGGCTACCTATGGTGGTGCCCATCAGATCCAAGACAACATAACAGTGAACGTGAGAAAGCGGACTACGGGGGCTGTCCCAGGGAAAACTGGAATTTGGCTGTAATTTGAAAACTATTTAATATTTTCATTCTATAAACGTACACTTGTAAAACAATCATTTCGGAATTTCTCGATTGAGCATCATGAGCATCGGACAAACCAAATGAACACAGCAGTTCTCCACGGATGGCTACCCCTTTGGAAAATTGGTCACGGGTAGAAGTGAAGTCTGTCATTCAGTTTCTGACTGCAAAAGGTCTCAAACCTATAGAAATACACACTGAAATAAAGTCCGTTTACGGGGAGAATGTAACGGCAAAGTCACTGGAATATATGAGTGGTGTAGTAAATTCAAAGCCGGGCATATGGATGTCAATGGCAAAGTTCACCCAAGACCTTGTTTTTCTGCCAAGAATGAGGACAACAAGAGTCGTGTTAATGAACTTATTCAAACAGACAGGCGCCGAAAAATTCGCTAAATTTCAGAGTCACTAAACATTTCAAAGTCGACTGTCCATGGGATATATGTTTGATGAGCTGCACTTTTGAAATGGTCTCTGCTCGGTGTATGTCCCAAAAGAGCTGACAGCTGATCACAAGACGCAACATGTTGAAGTGTCTCAGACTCTGTTGAATCGTTGTCGCAAAGCTGTCACAGGAGTCATGAACGTATCTGGAGACCTCCAACAATACGATGAAGCATTCCTGAGAAGCATCATTACAAGTGATGAGACTTGGATGCACCACATGACTCCTGAGACGAAGAGGGACTCATTGGTTTGGAAGCACACGTCATCACCTCCCCCGAAAAAAGTTCATGGTGAAGTAACTCATGGTCACCGTTTTCTGGGAAGCTAAGGGTATTCTGCTTCTTGATATACTGGAACCAGGACAAACTGTTGATGCTAACAGACACTGCCAGATTCTTGATAAGTTGAGAGAGGTTGTGCGCCGAAAAAGACCAGGCTGGTTTTCCAGCAAGGTCATTTTGCAGCATGACAATGCAACGCCAAACAGCGCAAACGCTACGAAAGACTGGATCCAAAGGTTCAGCAGGGAAATTCTGCCACACCCCCCCTCACAGTCCTGACTTGGCCCCATTAGATTATCACCTTTTCGGACCAACGAAACGCCATATTTCTGGACAGCGATTCACCGACGATGTAGACCTTGTGGTAGCCGAGAAAGATTGGTTGAAATCCCTTGACAAAAAATTCTTCAGGGAGGGTATCTTCTCCCTGATCCACTAGCGATGGGAAAAATGCGTACAGCGGGATGGTGATAAAAAAAGCACATACTGAGGTATGATGTGTTACATTTTAAATTTTATTATAATAGAAAGGACAAAGATTGTCACTTTTATGGACCTCCTTTCCCTTGTTTCCAGTTTTCCATGGGACAGCCCTCGTATAAAAGCTAGTAAAGGTAACATGCAAATATTTTTAGGTGTATGATAATGAGCTAGCATTGATGAATGACAAGAGTTGTGGTGGCTTAAAAGTGGATTTTTCATGTTTCAATGAGGTAAAATGTGTTTCAAAACAGAATAAAAATCTCTTCAACTTCAAGTACGACGATCATCACGGACGACGGCTAAGCCACGTAAACGGCATGGCATTTGAATGCAAGAGCACTTATATTGTAAAGACCAAGCACGCACAGCAAAAAACACTAAAATGTACCTGCACTTAACTCGCTACTGTCGCTGGAATCATTTTCACCCATCCCAGCTATTGGATTGATACCCAACAGTGGCAGTAAATCCTCTCCAGGCTCAGCCATGTTTGTTTACAATCTTCTTCGGAGAAAATAATAATATTTACTTTCAGAAGTGTCATGTGACTGCTTTAGCCAATGACAAATGTGGTCGTGTACTTTCGGAATCACATCTTTCTACGTTGGTGATGACTGTCCACTCCACTGACTATTCGCAAGAGTCTGTCGAAGCAAGAAGCAGTGAAAAAAAAAGAAAAGAACGGAAGGATAGTTTAGGCTCTTTCAGTTTGCCTTTCAGTACTTGATCTAGAGTTTATTTGTTGTCGCTTCTATCTCGTTGTCCGGCATTATAAAGGTAAGTGAGACTGTTCCACTGCACAGGCTCAGGTTTACTACTGAATCACCGTTCAATGAAATTAGTTGATGAAGCGTAGGCCTACGCCTACAGCTGTGTTTCATTTTCGGGTGGTCTTTGTACCCAGTAGGTTACCCCATTTGTTCAGTCTTTCTATGTTTCAGACTTGAGTCAGATAGTGTCGCACAGGCTATCTGTGTCTAATTTTTGTCGACAGTCGACAGGTCATACTCATACAGAGCAGGGTATCATGATCATGGAAAAAAAAACATTCTTGATTTGTATAGATCTAGAATCTATTTATAGACTCTATTCTCTTCATTATTTTAAACTGAACAGTCTTGACATTGGCAGCACAACAAGTGGAGGAAGTAAATTCCTTAATTCTAACAGGTGTCCCTTCTATGTGTTTGTGGGTTAGCTCATCTTCTAAGTCTCTCTTGTGACTTTGTGTAAGGTAAATTTTTTCAAAGTGACTAGCCGTACTGCCTGAGAGTTTAGCCGTATTTAAGTACCGCGAGTAATTATTCAGGTTTACAATAGATCTACATGCAAGTCAGTAAGGCACCTTTTGATTTTGTCTGAAATACATTACAAACTAAAAATTTCTTTTACAATTCAGCCATCAATACTAAGTACGGCTAGCCAAGAAGTCTAGCCGTCCTTAAGTACGGCTAGCCTGGCTAGCCAAGAAGTCTAGCCGTACCTAGCCTGCCTGTCTAGCCGTTCTTATCTTAGGCCCTAGATCTTATGCCTATTAACATTAGAAAACAGGTCTCATTAGTAATTACAGTCAAACCTGTGTAAGACGGCCACCCATTGTCAAGGAGAAAAGTGGCCGTATAAGACAAGTGGCCGTCTTAGGCAGGACTAATCAAGATGAAGAAAACAAACCATTCCCATCTGAAGTCCCAATCGAAAGTAGCCGCATTGTTGTTGTTTTTGTTGTTGGTTTGTATTTTGTTTGTTATTTTGATTTTGTTGCTGATTTTGCACAAGGGTGACAATAATACGAAATGTATAAAACGAGGAAGACCGAGTGCCAAGTTAAAACTGACACATGGGTTGCCACCACTCGGAGAACGAGCGACGCTTCAGTCGCAAGCTCATGTTAATGTCCATTGTTTCTTTGTTACAGACTTGGTAAACAGTGACCACTGATCTCACTTAGGATTTGTGTATGAGTTCTGGGAGGGGTTTGCGGGTTATGAGGGATCACACGCTTACCTCACCTGCAGCTGAAAATTGGTACCTATTGGTCAACAGTGGGAGGGGCCTACGCAACATGATCGGTTGGAGGGACTACCTAACAACTATAAGTGATTGGATTATGACGGCTCGCTCACAACGCTAGGGGTCAATGCACAATTTATGACAAAACGTAACAGAGTCACTGAGGTGGCCGTCTAAGACAGGTGTTATTGCTTAGTGTGATAGGGGTTGTGTGTTAAAATATGGTGGCCGCGGCCGCGTTGAACAGGTGCCTGTTTTACACAGTTAAATTATATAGAAAAAACGCAAGGGGGGAAATGGAAAGTGGCCGTTTGTACAGGTGGCCGTCTTATAGAGGTGGCCGTCAGGGCAGGTTCGACTGTATTCAGGTTTAAAATACATGCACTGACATTAAGGGACCTGGTTTCGTCTCAAATATAAATACTTTAGGTACTGCAAACTAAAATTTATTTACAATTCAGTAGGCCTATTTTTTTTGGAAGTGCCTTTGCAACGCAGCGTTGCCATTAGCGCCCGTGCTAAATAAAACGCCGCTTTGCGATTCGCGCCAGTGCTAAAAAAAACGCCGTGTGTTAGCGTAGGCTATATATATGAAGCTTAATCTGCCTTTCGTTAACGGAAGTTCCTCTGGCCGAAGTGACAGCACGTCTGCATTTGAAGCCAAATTGGTTTGTTTTCTGTCCTCTTCTCGACTGACCAACAAATTTTCCCCATAATTAGATCTATATCTTGTTGCTTTGTAGTTTTTTTTAATGTAGTGGTGAAGCATGCAGATTCTGGTTTTGTCCCCAAGAGGAGATAAGCCTTAGTTAGCTTGCAGGAACACGTTCTTGGCGCCCTGAATTGTCCACCATTGACACAGAGGCACGACTGAAATGCTATGGTAGCTCAAAGTGATGAGGAAACTGTACTGGAACACTTGCGTAAAAAATAATGCAGCAGTGGTCCGAATGCAGCAGAGTTTACAGAGAGTGAAGGCGGGCTCGGAAAGACAGCCGCGGTCAACAAGGCCTTGCTCGATCTTGATCCTCTTCCCGTCTGCTGACCCAGCAATGCATGACAAAATTAAAATGAAAGTAGTTAGAGGGAGAATGGAAGAAGGCCAAGTCGGGAAGAGAGGTTTGAGGGGGTAAAAAAAAAGAAGGAAAAGGGTAGGGAGTGGAGTGAGCAAGATCATTCTTAAATTGGTCACTTTTAAGCACAAGGGGGCTATCCCAAAAAATACTGTTTTGAAAAAATCAAAGGTAAAATTTTTGCCCCTTGTTCAATTTCTTTCAAATTAAGACAAGGAGAGTTTTCTCTATAACCATACAAATATATTTACACACCAATAAAACCAAATTTCTCCTATAGATAAAACAATGCTCACTTTTAGTGTAGGTCAAGATTTCTGGAAAACCCCGAAATTCGGGTTAGCCCGCATGTCCTTAAAAGCAACCAATTGCAATACTACATTCAGGACGCCGTGAACATAGTCGCTGCAAAACAAAAAAAATATGTCACATGATTTTACGTCAGCTGACTCATTTACTTATTGTAGGTTGCTGTTTTTTGTATACTGGAATGAAATTGGTACGATGTTTGTGTGAACATACCAATTAAGAATTAGGCTCTATACGTTACGTGCACTAGTTTCAAACATCACCTTGCATAATAATGTGGGTGGTTGGAGGGTGCTCTGGTGTGGTGTGCTTCTTGTTTTCTATCAAACATCTATCGTCCTTATCTCCCCTTCTTCTTTGTTATGTTTGTTACCCTCTTGTAACCCCTCTAATCTTCTGGCGCTCATATGACCTATGCAGTTGCGAGGGCCGTAAAACCTCTACTGTACTAAACCTAAAGCATAATTGGGGGAGGGGGGGGTGGGGGGATGTCATACTTGTTAGACTATTAGATTGCTTTTATCAATATACAGAAGGGAAACAATAAATCCTGGATTGTTGGTCCCTATATTAACATGATTAAGTTGAATTATGTCCCTGTAATTGTATTTTTCTTTATCTACCCTCACAACAAAGATTGTCTGATCTTAGTGATCTTTACTCACTCCTCCTTCCTGTTTTAATCACATGTACTCATGCTCATTATGATTTAGTCTTGTCAGTGAAGCCAGAGAGGGCAGACCTCATATTATTTTCATCATTAAATCACCCTTCTTCATCTAGAAACGGAGTTTTTACTTTTGCTTTATTAAATACAATAATGGCAAACAACCCCAGTGCAACAATACTTAGTGTCCGAATTGGCCTATTTTTGGTCACTCATGGAGGTTGTATGATGGGAAATGCTGGTTGTCGAAAGAAAATGATTCACCAGTACTTTTTAGAATATTGAATATTGTGTGGGAAAATCAAGAGTACAACACATCAGTGTTTGTTTGTTTTGTATACGGTTTTACGGCGCTCGTAACTGCATAAGGTCATATGAGCGGGCGGGACACACCTAATACTTTTTCGTTGGTAGGAAATTTTGAATTTTGCACGGGTGGCGGCCTAAGCTTACTCTTATCGATTTTAGACCACCAAGGGATCTTTAACGTGCGCAACTTGCACCCGGGCCCTCTGAGATTTTTCGCCCTTGTCCGAGAAGGCTAGGTGTAGATCTTTCCTACCAGAAGGTATCCCTCTAATTCTAATGTCACAGACCAGTTACTTTGATCAGTCTTTCATCAGTTTAGAACAGATATTGATTTCAAATCTTAAAGTTTGTTCATCTGTCTTGCTTTTAATGAAAAAAATACCCATCTAGCTTGAATAAAAGTAGAGATATTTGCGGCTATAAGGTTTGCCTGGTGTCAGAAGTAAAATTATAGTGAGAAAATGGCTGCCAAAGTTTGGTGACTTCCAATATTTGAGAGTGTCTTTGTAAACTCTCTCTCTCTCTCTCTCTCTCTCTCTCCCTCTCTCTCTCTCTCCCTCTCTCTCTCTCTCTCCATCTCTCTCTTTCCCTCTCTCTCTCCCTCTCCCTCTCTGTATCTCTAAAATTATTTCCTCTGTTGCTTTTAAAATATATTGTATTGCAGACAGATGAACCTGAATCAAGAGCATAATCTTTTGAATGTTTTTTTGTTACTTCTTTTCAGGGAAAATAGTCACAAGTCTCAAGATGGATCTGGGAAGCTTATTGTTGGTTTTTGCAGCAATACACTCCACCACCTTGATAAACTTCTCTGCCTGTGGCGCTCAGGATTACTATGAGGTCTTGGGACTGAAAAAGGATGCGTCTGCAAAAGATATTAAGAAAGCATTCAGGAAACTTGCTTTGAAGTATCATCCAGATAAAAATAAGGAGGAAGGTGCCAAAGAAAAATTCCTCGAAATTGGCAAAGGTACAGTGACTGATTGTGTGACTTATGAAAGGGTTTTTGTTGGGTTTTTTTTTTGTTTAAATGATGCAAGCAAATCTTTAATTAATTATGTGATACATCCTCAAAAATAGTTTCAAACACTTTTGTAGTGCTCACTCATCTTTTCAGCCCCTCCCCTTTATTTAGATTTGTAATCTGTAATTGGATGGGATGTTTGGTCAGCCATTGAGGGTTTTTTAAATACTTTATAATGTCTGATTCCTTCTTACTCCCAGTTTTTGAATGCCAAAGATGTCTTGATTGCGTATTCATTTTTACAACCTTTTAAATTTTATTTTTTCATTTCAGTTTTTATTTTACATGTTTAGTGATATTTCAAATTATTGATTTTTTTTTTCATATAAATACTTCAATAACTTGCTATCTGTGGTCTAGACATGTCTTCTTCTAGTTTACTCTGGTTACACTGTAGACATAAACTGTTCCAGTGATTTTTGGCTGAATGCACAAAAGGCTCAAGATTTTATTGATGATTTGGTCAGGTTTTATATACCGAATGGCCTCTTTTAAGCACAAGCGGGCTATCCTGAAAAATTCTGTGTTGGGAAAATCGAAGGAAAAGTTTTTGCCCCTTGTTCAGTTTCTTTACAAGACGGGGAGAGTTTTCTCCATAACCAAAGAAATATATACACATCAATGAAACCAAACTTCTCCTATAGAGGTAGGGCAATGCCCCCTTTTCGGTAGGTCAAGATTTCTGGAAACCTCTGAAATCTGGGTTAGCTCGCTTGTCCTTAAAAGTGACCAAATGTGACTTTTTTTTTTTTGTTGTTTCTGCTCCAGCATTCATTAAGTTTTTCTTAAAGTGAGAAATTTGCTGTATATTTTTGTTTTATGATATGATATAAACATTTTTGAAGCTTGCTAACAAAATGAACATTTGTGAAGCTTGCTAACAAAAGGACTTACTTCTCGGATTCAAGCCGAAATTTGACCCATATGTCGATTTTTGGCCAATATCTATATTTGTGGATTGCGAGAAGTAACTCATTTTGTCGGCACGCCTCACATTTCTTTGGTAGGTTTGTGATAACTCTACACGCTGTTGTTTGAATTGGACCGCTTGTTTTTGCTTTCAGCTTATGACGTGTTGAGTGACCCGGAGAAGAAGAAGAAGTACGACATGTTTGGAGATGATGGCTCCAACAGTGGAGGAGGGGGTGGCGGTGGCACAAACGATTTCCACGACTTTTTCAAAAACTTTGACGAGGCCATGAATGCGCACCGTCAGGGCCAGCACTACAAACACTCGGGCAGCAACGGATTCAACCACTTTGGCTCCGGATCCTTCGGAAGTTTCTTTGACTTTGACGATTTGTTCCACGATATGGACGACGAAGAAGAAGTGATGTTCCAGTCGTTTGGTGGCGGGCAGAAAAAGAGAAACAGTGGATTCCAGAACGGCAACAACATGCACTTTTCTTTCGACGATTTTGGGTTCGAGGATATGTTGGATGATTTGTTCGAGGACGATCATGGCCACCACAACAAGTACGACCGCTTCAGCAATCAGCAGTTTGCACACCACCAGATGCACCAGCAGATGCACAGCAACATGCACCGACATAACGGGCACCATGCACACCGTGAGTCCAAGCTTTTCTGGTTTTGTGTGTGCAAGTCCCCTTTAACTCTTTAAGTCCCTCTTTAAGCCCTGAGATTTTTTTACTGTTTCCTGGAGGGTTTTTTTCTACATTCACATAAATCTAGTGCTCTATAATGTATGTCTCAATATAACCCTAAAAACTTTCCTCCAACTTCTAAAGAGCGGAAACAAAGGCTTAGTCATTACTGAAAAACTTGGTTCAGGAATAGTTAAGAAAAACAAGCAAAACTAGCACTAAATGAAAAGAAACAGTTGTCACTGGTACTAAACGCTCTCAGCGTCCGATGGGGAACAGGGTTATTACCGCTGGATGCTCCCAGCGTCCGATGGGGTTCAAAGAGTTTTAACATTTTATACAGTTTAAATTGTCCATTACGGCCATCTATTGTAGAGGAGCGAGGAGAAAAGTGGGTATTCCATTGTGGAAGAGAAAAGGGTTGTCCTTGACAGGTGCGCCTCTTGGATAGCGTTGGTGACCTAGTGATTAGGCTACCGGACTCCTAATCGTGAGGTTGCGGTTTCGGGGGTTCGAGTCTCAGGCCCGACGTTGAGTCCTTGGGAAAAGCACTTTACACAAATATTGCTCACTTCACCCAGGTGGGAATAGGTACCCGGCCAAAAACTGCTAAAGATCTTGTCAGTAGGTTAGTAGTGTTTGGGGCCCATAAATGACTGCTTTCACTGTATGCTTCCCAAGAACTTATGTTTGTTTCAGAATGCTCTCAAGTCTGCTGGGGTAATAGTATAGATTGTGAAGCGCTTAGAGCTTGCTGTTGAGCGGGGATTTGCGCTATAAAAATGCTATCTTTTTACAGTAGGCTTGAGTAGGGCACAGATGACTTAAGCTTGTTGGAGATTGACAAAGTCAAATGTGTTTGACTCATCCATAATTCAGGGGAACTGATAAAGCAAAAAATTAAAGAGATATTAGTCGGGAATGGCAAATTTTACGAGCTGTCTCTGTGATTTCAAATTTCCCATATTCGTGTTATCTGTGCTCGACCGACTGTTATAGAGGAGAACAAAAAAAAAACCCAGCAAAAGATAATGGGAAGTGGTTGTTTGTACAGGTAATTATCATGAACAAGTGGCCGTAAGAGACGTTTTAAGTGTATACTTTTTATTACCTGTTTACCAGTGCGTTCTATATGTATAGAACATGGTTTTCCCATCCTTTTTGCTATTGAACTTTCCATTTTTCCTTCAAGAAAATGATCAGGTCTCATTGTGTTTTTTAAAATATATTTTATCTCTCTAAATATTTAAGGATAAAAAAGAAACAAAATGCTCCGACTCAATAGTATTTACAAGAAAATAGAATACAACCTTTTTCACACTCTCTTCTTGTTCCTTTTTTAAATTGAACTCTTTCCACTTCGTAGGCATTATATAAAAAAATTACTCAGACTCTTGTATGTGCACATAATGTAACGTGCATACTAAAGTGGACAGCTCACCTCACTACTGTAGAGTAGTATAACATTTTTACGATATCGAAATTGTTACCTGTAGTGAGTGAAGTGCTAATTAGGTTGAAAGCAGTAACTTTTGACTCCTCATCCCTGTAGTTGACGCTCTAAAACTCAGTTTTCTCTTGAATTCAAATTGTGACTTGATAAATTGTTATAAAGTGTTATAAGATTCCTGTAGTTGACGCTCTAAAACTCAGTTTTGTCTTGAATTCAAATTGTGACTTGATAAATTGTTATAAAGTGTTATAAGATGGTGTCTATTTTCTATGAATGAGGTGTGTGAATTTACTACTCTGCTCACTAGCTAAATTATCATAACAGCTATAATTAACCCTTTCAGCCCCAGCTATTTATGCACTCTCTGACCCCAGTCCCAGCCAATACAGCAGTATTTCAGAAAAAGAGGCACGCATTCTAAAAAGTGATGTAGTATCTTTGTAATGAGGTTCAGATAATGGCGTATAACAATGTTTAAAGGAAAAGGAACAAATATGATCAAAATTAGAGTTTAATTAGGTTCGCTTATATGAACAAATGTTCAAATTTGGTATCCCCTCGAAACTGAGAATATTTTTTAAGCTCTTGGGATGGTGGGAGGTACAAGTGCTGCTGAAAATATACACGCTTGGGGCTGGAAGGGTTAACATTTAAAAAAAAAAGAAATGTATAATATGTATATTTATATCTATTTTGTTGTTTCCGTCTGTAGGACAACAAAGATGCCAGCAAGTGACGCAGCGTGTGGGTAACCAGGTGATCACTTACACACAGTGCAGTTAACTGGTCCGGCCGCGCGCGTCACCCAAAAGTTCTTATTCTGTTGTTTGTGACGGTGGTGGTGGCTTGCCTTGCTCGGGAAACTTCACACCTCGCTTCTAAATCATCGATGCACGTTTCTGCTGTCGCAGGCGACAAAGAAGGAAGTGTGCCAAATGACGGAAGGAAGTGTGCCAAACGACGGAAAGAAGCCCGCAAAACAGCTGTTGTTTGGGGATGTCACACGACGTGTCAGTGTGTCTGGCGACTCTGAGCTGGTATTTCTTTATTGAAGTCCGCTCCAGCATTGTTCTGAGTTTAGTTGTTGTTATTAGAGCTATAATTAACATGCGTGTCAATTCTCGTGAAATGAAGTACTCAAGTGTAAATCATTCTTTTTATGGATGTCATGAACAATGTGCCTTATTTGTGCCCCGCATCGTTATCTATAGTGAAAATTTATGTACTCGGAGCGTATCAAAGTTTAAGGAGAGTGTTTATGTATATATTTACAGATTTCTGCATTTTTAGATGAACTGTGAATGCTTTCAGTGATGGCAGTAGAAAAAAACGAGCTGTCCATCACGGGATGTTGCTTCTTTTCTGGTTTGATTGACGGTCATCAGTACCGATACGCTGTCATTGTGTGTTCAAACGTTTATGTAAAACTCTGGAATTCAGTACTTCTTTTTTGCTGTTGACAAGAGATTTTCACTTTGTTTGAAGGACTACAAAAGTTTTTCTGTTTGTTTGAAGGACTTGTCCGCCTGTCCTCCCTCGTGCGACTGTGATGTAACAAGCATATCTCCACATCGTCGGCCATCTGTTCGGATGTACCTTGCTCAAAATTTAGACATACAGTCGAGCCTGTTCTAGGGAACGCCCTTACCTGTCTTACCTGTCCTGGGCAACATCGTCATTGCACACCGGACAGGTCCATAAGTGCTCAGTTATGTAACTCAATAGAATGACCAAATTCTAAATGTTGAAAATAACATGAAAAAAAAAATAAATATATATAATATATATATATATATATATATTAAGAGAATACAGTTTGTAAATGAATTGAAACATTTTTTTCCCTCCCCTTAGGACCTTTGAACAGCTTGCTGTGGTTAAAGTTACCAAGATAGCACTCATGACAGTGTTGGTGACACTTATGTGATGGGTTAACTTCCTTTCTCATGGTTTTTTTTGTTTGTCTGTACTTAGACAAATGTCATTCCTTAACGATACGGGGCAGTTTCTTTATCTTTGAGGTATAATCCTTGTGGTAATGGTGTGTTTTATTCCATGTCATAATTCTTGAAAGTACAAAAGTTTTGTATTGCTTACTCTTTGTGAGTAGCTGTTGGGTGCTTTGGTGTGGTGAGTATCGTCTACATTATTTTTCATGGTTCCTTCTTGCTTGCTTTAGTGGGATCTGTCCACATTCTTTGTGTCAGTTTGCTTGCTGCTCTATTTCAAATCAAACAAAGGAAAAAAAAATCAAACAATATTCGAGGTGTCATGTTACCTTTTGTGCCAAGATGATAAAAGAATTATATTTTTTTTGCAGAATGAGTTTGAATGCTCCGAGATGAGTGAAATGTGATTTTGAGTTTGTTTGTTTCATATCACTATAAGTGGTTAGGCTCTCGGACTCGCTACCGTAAGGTCGTGGGTTTGAATTCTGTCAGGTGCTCAATGTTGTGTCCTTGGGAAAAGCACTTTACACAAATTTTCCTCGCTTCACCCAGGCGGGAATGGGTTCCCAGTTACTATAGACGGTGAAGGATCTTGTCAGTTTGTTATATTCAGTGTTTGAGAGCTTAACCAGCTGCTTGCACTGCATGCTTCCTGAGAAGCTGAGAATGTTTCTGAGTGTTCTGTGGTCTGCTGGGGTAATAATATAGTGTAAAGCACATGAGCTTGCTGTTGAGCGGGAGTATGTGCTGTACAAATACTATTTATTGTTATTATTATGACTCAAGTTGTGTTGTGTTCTTCAAATCAAATCTGAAAATTCAAACTGTCAACGAACTGTAGCCAGAGGTACTGCTGTGATGTATGATGTGCCAAGATGATGAAATATGTTAACCCTTCCAGCCCCAGACGCTTTTGTGCACTCCCTTACCCCAGTCCCAGCCAATACAGCGGTATTTCAGAAAAAGAGGCTCGCATTCTAAAAAGTGATTTAGTACCTTTGAAATGAGGTTTAGATAATAACACAAAACAATGTTTAATTTAAAGGTAAATGAACGAATATGATGGAAATTAAAGTTTAATTCCGTTCGCAAATTTAAAAGAATGCGCATATGCAGTAGCCCCTGAAACTGAGAATATACACTCTTTAGACGGTGGGAGGTATAAGGGTTGCTGAAAATTTACGCGCATGGGGCTGGAAGGGTTAAGATGTCGACAAAAACCAACCCTTGAATGGGCCAATGAGGCTGATGATATATGATAAAGTCCATTAAGTTTATGTTTTGTTTTTGTGTGATGCCTGTGGTTGATTGGAAGTGTAGGTCTGCACCTGCTTCTTCTTTTAGTTGTTTCTACTACCCTTGATTGTTCCCAGCAAATGTGGGAATTATCCTGCTGACTTGCTGTGAACTAAGTAAAGTCTCTACCATTAACATGTCGATCAGATGCTACTTAATTAGGAAGGAGTCCTTGTCATACATTCTTTAAAAAATTGTGAGCGTTTGACGGGTGCCCTGGTGTGGTTCGCTCCTTCTTTCCTGTCAAACGTCTGTCATCTTTATCTCTGCTCGTTCTCTTCTTGTACGTTACTCTTTAGTAACACCTCCTGTCTTTGACACTGACTTATATATGACCTCATTGTGTTGTAAAAAGTGCTGTAAAACCTTTACTAAAACTTAACTAGGTCTCTTTAACAATTTCTGATGCTACTTAATAAGGAATGGTTCTCTTTAATATTCTTTATAAAGACTTTATAATGTGTGATTTTGGTACCCTTACATATCAGTTCTCTCTCGGTGTACCCTGGATCGATAACAACAACAACAACTCTCGGTGTACCCTGGATCGATAACAACAACAACAACTCTCGGTGTACCAACTCTTTGATGACTGAAGTCTCCGCTGTGGGTGGTTGGCGGGTGCCCTCGCGTGGTTTGCTCCTTCTTTCCTATCAAACGTCTATCGTCCTGATCTCTCCTCCTTCTTTTTCATGTTTGTTACTCTCTTGTAACGCCTCTAATCTTCGGCATTTATGTGACCTTATTGTGTCGCAGGTGCCGTGAAACTCTTACTAAAACCAAAACTAAGTCTCCACTGTTCACTCCACTGCTGCCATGAAACATTTTCTTCTCGACCCATGCATCATGTAAATAATACTTTGAACTTTTATCCTGTTTTCTGATATGGGGCTGTTGCTCAACTATTATTATGTTGTGTTGCATGTCAGCTGAACAGCGTTGTCAGCCTTGAACTGCAGGCTTATGTGTGTGAGTGTTGAGCAAGAGAGCAGAGAAAGTGCTGAATGCTAGTCAGTTCATATGTTGGAATTTTGGGAGGATTGCATGTCATTGTGTGTCTCTAACAAGAGACGGGGAGGATTGCATGTCATTGTGTGTCTCTAACAAGAGACGAGATCTAATAGAGATACAAATCTTAATTTCTCCCTGCTCTCGCAAAGCCTCCTTTATTAAAGGTTTTACTTTTACTGCAATTTGGTTCTAAGGTTCCTTATAAAGTGATACTTTTCCGATCCAGCAGCCTGCTGCGTTCTAGCCCTTTGGCCTGTCGATATGGCAAAGAATTTACAGGTTTTTTGCAGAGCCTGTGTTTTGTCGCTGTATAATGTATTTCCGATATCTGGGGAGGCAAGTAGGTAGGGGCTACGCAGGTCACTAAGGGAATGGCAGGAAAAGAGAAGGTGTGATATTGTTTCATCCTGGCAGTCAGATGGGGTATCCTTGAGAATCCTGTTTAGGTAGGAATTCATTGGGATGTGCTGTGTTCGCAGACGAAAGACAGTGACTTGTTCTCTTCTACTCAGGGAAGTTGGTGCATCTTTTGAGTTTGGGGCAGTCATGTGTGCAAATACAGCTCTTCCAGTTTTGCCCATTGCCCATCCATTCAGCCGTCGTTCCCTGGTGTTGCATTTGATGATGTTCTTGACTGTATGTTGTGATGCTGGGTATAAAGATATAAAGGGATACAAATACTGTGAAAATGGTGTGGTTCTGTGTTTGAAAGGCCCTCTGTGGTCGGAGAAAAAACACAATCGGATTATAAAGAGATTATTTAATAGATTAGGAGAAAAAACAATTTTATTTTATAAAGAGATTATTTAATAGATTAGGAGCAAAAACAATCTGATTATAAAGAGATTATTTAATAGATCAGGAGAAAAAACAATTTTATTTTATAAAGAGATTATTTAATAGTATAGATTTGGAGCAAAAACAATCTGACTATGAAGAGATTATTTAATAGATCAGGAGAAAAAGCAATCTGATTATAAAGAGATTATTTAATAGATTAGGAGAAAAAACAATTGGATTATAAAGAGATTATTTAATGGATTAGGAGAAAAAAGAATTGGATTATAAAGAGATTATTAAAATTTAATAGCGTAGGAGAAAGACAATCGGATTATAAAGAGGTTATTAAAATTTAATAGGTTAGGAGAAGTTGGGAGCTTCAGTTTCCTGTGACTGAATCTTGTCAGCCAGACAAGTTGTGGGTCCATCAAATTGGACAAATGGTCACCTTTGAAAGCCCAACCTAAAAGCTTTGCTTTTCGTTTACGGTTTTTAATATCACCATGTCATGATATATGCAAAAATATCACCATGTCATGATATGTGCAAAAATGCACATTTTTATGAATAGGTGGTTTGAACATCGTGAAAATTCACCCAGGAAAAAATTGATTGTTATATTTGTATGTATATTTGGGTTTGGTGATGTTATTCTTTATAGCTTCTATTTTTAGCAAAAGTATGAAATGTATATATTGGATCGAAAGAGAGACCGAAAAGAACTAGTCAGTTGTATGAACAAAATTTCTGTTGGTTGAATCATCAAAGGAAGATTTGTGTGAAGACTAAAGTGGCTTTTTAAAAAAGCTTTTAGTTTTCAAAATTTTATCTATCTCTTTGTATAAAGTTCCATGACTAAAGTTGCTATTCCAAAGCACTTTTGTCCATTTCGCTTGCTTTAAAAAAAATTATTTTATTTCTTGTGTAGGCAATGTTGCACTAGTTTGTTATGGATGGGGTTTTGGGTTTTTTTTGGTAAGGTTTCTTCAAATTAGCACAAGAGTGAATGTAATTCGTATTGTAAGACTGGACTGTGATATATTACTCTGGCTTGGTTCTATGGAGCTTTTCTTTTTTGGTTTCTGTTGAACTTTATTACTGTATTTTATGTAGGTCAGTTCAAAGTATCAAAGGCTGAGGAATACAGTATTTCAAAATTAAAATAGAAGTCCAAATCTCTTTTGGGTTCCAACTGTTAAATGTTTTAGGTTGGCTGTTTGGTTATCAGAAACTTTTGTTTGGATCTTACATGATAATGCTTTGTCAGTGGCATCTCTTTAATAAAAATGTCTCGATATTTCTGCATGTTTCTCATGTTATTAGAACTTTAAAAACTTTAAGATTATTTAATTTTTGTGGGGTTGCTTAGTTAAGGATTTTTAGTTTCTCATGAAATGAACTAGTCAAATGCATGTACTGTAGAACCAGTTACTAATGTTAACATCTGAATAACATAGTGAAATGGGGAATTCTTGCCCAAATCGAGGCGAGCGCATCAATCATAGACTGGTCACAAGATAGCTTAGCTGAAATGCCTTTTTCTTTTGGTCTAAAAAAAAACCCCATGGACTACTTTGGGAATGAAAATTAAGGAATCAAAATAGATATCTTCTTTCTTTTTCCATGTATATAATATTAATATACTATGTATGCATAGAAGGAACATTCTCTCACAGATGTTACCTTTGAAGGGAAAACAATAAGAGAAATAAGAAATAAACTATATGTGAGG